ATCGATCTGTATATAATAAGCCTCGTGCCTTGTGCGGAATTTCCTGGGCTGTAGCCGAATTATCGGTGCTAGCTCCGAAGCACGACGGATCTTTTAAAAACCTCGTACCTCGTTCGGAATACTTCGATTAAGGCTTCTTCTTGTAAGAGAGTCGTCTTATCGAAGAGGTGACCCTTTCTGCTTTTCTATCTTTACTAACACTCTTTGCCCATTCCTTTCTATAATTCCGTCTATTTATTTGATTCTTCTTTTAATTAATTTAATTACAGGAAATTGACAGGTAAGTTTAATTCCAGTGCGTGCGACATCTTATATTTTAAAGAATTAATTAACGTTTATTTGATGGATAAATTCTTCAAGTCTCAACCGCGGCGCAATCGTAGAAGCGGAAGATTCCGAAGATCCCGATTACTCACTTCATGCGTGCGTCGATTCTCTGCTACTAAATTATCTGCTTTTAGATCGATCATTCTGGAATTGTATAACAGATCGCAGGTAGAATCCGTGATTCCTTTCAGTGAAATAGTGACCGATATTAACAATATCAATAACGACATTAACGACGAAGTCTTAATTCACTTCAGTGCCAACCAGCCTCTCGAATCTCCTGAAAGACTAGCTTCTCTCCAAGTTAACGAATTCCTTGATAATCTAGCACTCATCGAAAATATAGATTCAACTACCAGCGTCATTCAAGAAGCTCTCGCTTCTCTAATACCTGAAGAGCACGATAATTTAATATATCCCACGGAAAATATTGAAGAATCCGATCAACTTTGCACTCGATCTCTTAGAATTCGACGTAATCCACGAGAAACTAAACGCAGATCAGAATAGAGAGAATACGTAACCTTCTCTCGCCGATTTAGATACTATTAACGAATACATTTAAGAGCAGAATTAATATCTAATTAGGGTACTATATTATGTGGGAATGCGCATCGCCATTTTGGCTCCTAGTCAGTGCAGCATGGTTTTGAAAAGTGCGGTTGAAAAGTGCAGTCACCAGGAGCTAAAATAGCGATGCGTATCCCCACCCCTAGTAGCACAGTGCATTGGCTTTACATTGGTGAAACATTGGTTATGTTGGGAGTACATTGGCCAATCTTTCCCAAAGAAAAGCCAATATTGGTCATAGAATAAATTACAATGTATTACTGATATTGTACATCAATTAATATATAATATTGATCTTACATTGAAAATGCATTGGCCAAGGTTTCCCAA